TGGAAAATCGACTATTAGAAGATCAAATGTTAAAAACTGTTCAATGATAAATCGAATATTGAAAAACCGAAAAGAGTAAAAAAAAATTAAAATTCGAATGTCGAAAAATCGGAATAACCGAAAATTCGGAAATCGAAAAATCAAAAAAATCCGAAAATCGAAAAATCAGAAAAATCTTTCGGAAAGTGGTAACATTGAGAAACGGGAAATTAAAATCTAAAATTTGAAAGATTGAAAATTCGGATACTGAAAAACCGAAAATTCGGAAATCGAATGTATTGAAAAATCCTCCGGAAAGTAAAAAATTGAAAAATCAGGAAACTGAAAATTCTAAAAGTAAAAAGATTTAAAACTCGGATATGAAAATCGAAAATTTAGGAAATCAAAAAATCGAAAAGTAAAAAAATTGAAAATCGAAAAATTGAAAAATAAAAAAGCTGGAAAATTGAAAAAATAGAAAAATCTTCCGCAAAGTGTAAACGTTGAAAAACGGTAAATTGAAAAATCTAAAAATTGAAAGATTGAAAATTCGATTATCGAAAGATTGAAAATTCGAAATATTGAAAAAATAGAAAAATCTTTCAGAAAGTGGAAAAATCGAAGAATTGAAAAATCCAAAAGTTGAAAGATTGAAAATTCGGATACTGAAAAACCGAAAATTCGGAAATCGAAAACTCGAAAAGTAAAAATATGGAAATTCGTAAAATCCGAAAATGGAAAATCGAAAAATCGGTAAATCGAAAAAATGGAACAACTTTGCGGGAAATCGGGAAATTGAAAAATCTAAAACTTTAAACATTGAAATTTCGGATATCGAAAAATTGAAAATTCGAAAATCCAAAAATGGAAATTCGAAAAATTAAACAATCGCAAAGTCGAAAAATCGAAAAGAACATAATTGAAAATTTGGAAACTCCTAAAATTGAAAAATCGAAAAATGGAAAATCGAAAAAATTGAAAAATCTAAAAGTTGAAAGATTGAAAATTCGGTAATAGAAAAATCGAAGTCTCGAAAAATCAAACAAATTGAATAAAAATGAAAAAACCGAAAACCCGAAAATTCGGAAATTGAAAAATTGAAAAATGAAAAGCTCAAAATTTGAACATCGAAAAATCGGAGTCGAAAAATAGAAAAGTCGAGAAATCGTTGGGTCAAAAAAAAATGAAAAATCAAATATCGAAAAATTGAAGAATTAAATAACCAAGAAATGGAAAAATCGAAAAGTAAAAATGCGAAAAGTCGATTGTGGAAAAATTTTAAAATGGGAACTCAAAAAACTGAAAAATCGAAAATTCGCAGACGAAAAATAGAAAATCAAAAAATCGATAAATCGAAAAGAAAAAAAACTGAAAATTCGAATATCGAAGAATCGACAAATTAAATAATTTGGAAAACGAAAAATAAAAAAATTGGGAATTCGAATATCGGAAACTCGAAAAATACAAGATGAAATGTCTAAAAAATAATGAAAAAACAAAAAATTTAAAAATATTTCGGAAAGTGAAAAAGTTGTAAAATGTAGTTGAAAGATTGAAAATTCTGATATCGAAAAACCGACAATTAGGAAATACAAACAACGAAAAGAAAAAAAATGGAAAATTCGAATGTATCGAAAAATGGAAATTCGAAAAATCGAAAATTCGAAACGGAACAATATTAAAAATTTGAAAACTAAAATTGAAAAGTCGGTAAATGGAAAATCGAAAAAATTCCTATATCAAAAAACCGAAAATTCGGAAATGGAAAAATCCAAAAGCAAAAAAAATGGAAAACTCCAAGATATCGAAAAATGGAAATTCGAAAATAGAAAAATTGAAAATCGCAAAGTCGAAAAATCGAAAAGGAAAAACTCCGAAAATTGAAAAATCGGAAAATGGAAAATCGAAAAAATTAACAATCTTCCAAAAGGTTCAAAACAACAGGAAACTGAAAATTCAGGAAATCAAAAAAACTAAAAGTAAAAAATGGAAATTCGAAAAATTGAAAAATCCAAAATCCGAAAAATTGAAAAAATAGAAAAATCTTTCAGAAAGTCGAAAAATCGAAGAATTGAAAAATCCAGAAGTTGAAACATTGAAAATTCGGATACTGAAAAACCGAAAATTCGGATATCGAAAACTCGAAAAGTAAAAGAATGGGAAATTCAAATATCGAAAAATGGAAATTCGTAAAATCCGAAAATGGAAAATCTAAAAATCGGTAAATCGAAACAATGGAACAACTTTGCGGAAAGTCGAAAAATCGGGAAATTGAAAAATCTAAAACTTTAAACATTGAAATTTCGGATATCGAAAAATTGAAAATTCGAATATCCAAAAATGGAAATTCGAAAAATTAAACAATCGCAAAGTCGAAAAATCGAAAAGAAAAAAAACTGAAAATTCGAATATCGAAGAATCGACAAATTAAATAATTTGGAAAACGAAAAATAAAAAAATTGGGAATTCGAATATCGGAAACTCGAAAAATACAAGATGAAATGTCTAAAAAATAATGAAAAAACAAAAAATCGAAAAACGAAAAAATTTAAAAATATTTCGGAAAGTGAAAAAGTTGTAAAATGTAGTTGAAAGATTGAAAATTCTGATATCGAAAAACCGAAAATTAGGAAATACAAACATCGAAAAGAAAAAAAAATGGAAAATTCGAATGTATCGAAAAATGGAAATTCGAAAAATCGAAAATTCGAAACGGAACAATATTAAAAATTTGAAAACGAAAATTGAAAAGTCGGTAAATGGAAAATCGAAAAAATTCCTATATCAAAAAACCGAAAATTCGGAAATGGAAAAATCCAAAAGGAAAAAAATGGAAAACTCCAAGATATCGAAAAATGGAAATTCGAAAATAGAAAAATTGAAAATCGCAAAGTCGAAAAATCGAAAAGGAAAAACTCCGAAAATTGAAAAATCGGAAAATGGAAAATCGAAAAAATTAACAATCTTCCAAAAGGTTCAAAACAACAGGAAACTGAAAATTCAGGAAATCAAAAAAACTAAAAGTAAAAAATGGAAATTCGAAAAATTGAAAAATCCAAAATCCGAAAAATTGAAAAAATAGAAAAATCTTTCAGAAAGTCGAAAAATCGAAGAATTGAAAAATCCAGAAGTTGAAACATTGAAAATTCGGATACTGAAAAACCGAAAATTCGGATATCGAAAACTCGAAAAGTAAAAGAATGGGAAATTCAAATATCGAAAAATGGAAATTCGTAAAATCCGAAAATGGAAAATCTAAAAATCGGTAAATCGAAACAATGGAACAACTTTGCGGAAAGTCGAAAAATCGGGAAATTGAAAAATCTAAAACTTTAAACATTGAAATTTCGGATATCGAAAAATTGAAAATTCGAATATCCAAAAATGGAAATTCGAAAAATTAAACAATCGCAAAGTCGAAAAATCGAAAAGAAAAAAAACTGAAAATTCGAATATCGAAGAATCGACAAATTAAATAATTTGGAAAACGAAAAATAAAAAAATTGGGAATTCGAATATCGGAAACTCGAAAAATACAAGATGAAATGTCTAAAAAATAATGAAAAAACAAAAAATCGAAAAACGAAAAAATTTAAAAATATTTCGGAAAGTGAAAAAGTTGTAAAATGTAGTTGAAAGATTGAAAATTCTGATATCGAAAAACCGAAAATTAGGAAATACAAACATCGAAAAGAAAAAAAAATGGAAAATTCGAATGTATCGAAAAATGGAAATTCGAAAAATCGAAAATTCGAAACGGAACAATATTAAAAATTTGAAAACGAAAATTGAAAAGTCGGTAAATGGAAAATCGAAAAAATTCCTATATCAAAAAACCGAAAATTCGGAAATGGAAAAATCCAAAAGGAAAAAAATGGAAAACTCCAAGATATCGAAAAATGGAAATTCGAAAATAGAAAAATTGAAAATCGCAAAGTCGAAAAATCGAAAAGGAAAAACTCCGAAAATTGAAAAATCGGAAAATGGAAAATCGAAAAAATTGATTTTTCGGTTTCTCGGTTTTCCAGTCTTTCGGTGTTTCGATTTTTCAGTTATCCGATTTTGTAAATTTGGGGGTTTCGATTTCTCGATTTTTCGTTATTCGGTTTTTAAATTTTAGATTTTTGAATTTTACATTTTTTCGATTTTCAGTTCTTCGATATTTCGATTTTTCAATGTTTCGGCTTTACGATTTTTTAAGGTTTCGATTTTTCTATTATTAGATTTCTCAATTTTTCGATTATTTTTATTTTTCATTTTGTTTTCTCACTGTTGATATCATACACTGGGTTACTACGATTTCAACAATATTCTTAGTTTAAAACGTTTTGCTAGTATAAAACACAAATAAAGAATTAATTCTTAGTTAAACAAAATATGTATGTAACATCGTCTAAATATGTACCAAAAATATTCGCTTAGTCGTTATAAAAAACCGACCAACTATTTCTCGTAAAAATTATAGTCCAAACCAACCAAATTGCTCCTGAACGCTTAGAGTCGACAATGGCCTGAGCGCGCTCTGGTCGGTAGATCAAACAAGTTCTCAGGCGCCGCATCTATATTAATCTATGATTTTATGGCCAGGAAACCAGTAGTAATCGGAAAGCGAATTGTTTCCGTTGTACAACAGTTAGGTAAACACTTTCCAACCCTCAGAAGCATTCTAAGTCATTTCCCAACCTGCCCCAAAGGCACGCAGCCGTAAAACTGATTTATTAAAACCCATTTTTGTCTACTTAGAGATAAGTGCGCGCCCTCGGGGATTTTCCTGATTTATGGGCATCGGCCATCACGCAGCACATGTGCTCCAAGAGAACGTGTCATGCATTAAAACAATTTATTGCTCAATTATAGATAAAAAGGCGTCTTGTAATTATAAATAAATCTAAAGAGACCAATAAAAATTACTTATCGTTTTGATGTAACATGGAACTAGAAAGGTCAGCTTATTTATTACGAACAATCAAAACACCAGTCGCTGAAATGCAGCGGCTTATCTATTGTGCTACTTTTTGTACCTTTTTATATCGGCCGTCGGACGTACACTCGGGGACGTAGAATTCCCCGCCATCGAGCAGCGCCGCCTGCCGGTCGGACAGGCAGTCGGTGGGCTCGTCTTCGTCGTGGATTTCGGAGGACTCCTCGTCGTAAGTCAAAGCTGAAAGTTGAACTAGAGATTTTACAATATTATTCTGGTAGTGAAAGTGACCGATGAAATGACATGACGGAGACGTAGTGGGTGACGTAGCGGATTGGAATTTTCAAAACATATCTGCCATAAAAATAATCAACAGCGCCATCTAGTTTCGCGCTCAAACACCATCAGAGAATTATTATTTAAATTCAACAGGTGCTATGACTGTGCATATAATTTTAATTTTAATCACGAATAAAGTCCATAAATACGGCATTTAAGTATATCTGTTTCCATATAATTGCGGCTATAATATTATAAAGTGCTTAATTAAAGCAACTGTAATTATAGTAACGTTATTTACTTTCTCTATAAAGATCAATATCACATTATTTATGTTACTGTGCTTTGCGTAATTCTTTCCGAGAATTTGATTCAATCAAAGTCACAAGTTTTTAACCAGTGAATTATTCTCGTCTGAATATCGGAGTTATTTATAACGGTTTAAGCGTTAAGTGTTCAAGAAACTTCCTTTAAATCATTGTTTGTTGTTCCAATAATAAAAATCCACAACGTAGTTTCTTTGAAAATACAACTGGTAACGTTGGCAGTGTCGGTTTAGTGATTTATTGTAGTGTCAAATAATTTAAAGTTATGTTTCGTTGACAGTTTGGTTTCATTTTTAATTTGATTTGTAAACACTAAATTGGCAATTCGTGTTAAACTTTGTAATGCCAACCTTAGAATAATTAAACTACATATATAATTAATCACTTTCTTTTTAACTGAACATTTAGTCTGTGGAAAATTAATGCTTGAATAGGAGTATTGTGTTTTATTTTGTTACCACGCTGTACAATGTACAGACATCGAGAAAATACCGTATACCCAAAAATAGTTGGTAAATATGACTACTTCAAATTCAAAACAAAAGGGGTCCCTGAGATTCTTTCAAATTATTTCAAAAACCAGTGAAGGTATCCTCAAGATCCTCTCAATATAAGTTTGGATTAAATTTTTCGATTTTTCAAATTTGAATTTTTTCGAATTCTTGCGTTTGTAATTTTTCAACTTAATTTTTCTTTTTTCAATTTTTTCAATTTTCAGTTTTCCCGACTTTTAATTTTTTTGGTATTCCAACTTTTCATGTTTTCAATTTTCGATTTTCAGTTTTTCGATTTTTCGACTTTAGAATTTTTTGAAGTTTGTTGATTTTATAATTTCTCTTTATTTTCAATTCTTTCATTTTTCATATTTCCTGATTTTTAATTTTTCGTTTTTTCAATTTTCGGCTGTCGGTTTTTGAGTGTTCAACTTTCAGTTTTTAAATTTTTCGATTTTTCGAATTAGAATTTTGCGATTTACATTTCATCAATTTTACAGTTATCGTTTTTCCAAATTTTCAATCTCGAGTTGGTTGATTTTTAATTCCTCAATTTTTATAAACTGAGAGTTTTTCGATTTCACGTTTTACGTTGTGCGAATTTTAAATATTTCAAGCTTCATTTCCTACAGTTGGATTTTTCACAAAGTTTTTCGATTTTCAATTTTTCAAATATTCAAATCCAAAATTTTCAATTTTTTGATCTTTAAATTTTGAAATTTTTCAAATTCTTCGATTTGCAGTTGCACGATTTTGCAATTTTCCTTTTTTCCAATTTTTCAATTTCTATTTTCAATTTTTCGGATTTTCAGCGTTAAATTTTTCAATTGTTCGATTTTTCCACTTTTTTTCAAATTTTTTGATTTGCAGTTCTTCGATTTTCACACCTTTGATTTTTCGATTTACAGTATCAGTATCCAGTTTTAAATTTTCCAATTTTACGTTTTTTAATTTTGTTTTTTTCAGATTTTCGTGTTTTGATTTTTCGTTTCTTATGTTTCCCAATTTAGTTTCTAGGATTTTAAATCTTCGGTATTCCAGTTTTTCAATTTTCAATATTTCGAGTGTTTCACTTTCAATTTTTTTATTTTTCCTGTTTTTTAATTTTTCGAGTTTTCAGTGTTCCGATTCAAAGGTTTTTGAGTTTTGAATTTTAATTTTTTTGATTTTTCGAAGCTTCATTTCCTTCAGTTGGATCTTTCACAAAGTTTTTTGATTTTTAAATTTTCCTTTTTTTCAATTTTACAATTTGCTATTTTCAATTTTTCGGATTTTCAGCTTAAAATTTTTCAATTGTTCGATTTTTCCACTTCGGAATTTTTTCAAATTTTTTGATTTGCAGTTCTTCGATTTTCACTCCTTTGATTTTTCGATTTACAAGTTCCAGTATCCAGTTTTAAATTTTCCAATTTTACGTTTTTTAATTTTGCTTTTTTCAGATTTTCGTGTTTTAATTTTTCGTTTCTTATGTTTCCGAATTTAGTTTTTTCAATTCTTCAGTTTCTAGGATTTTAAATCTTCGGTATTCCAGTTTTTCAATTTTCAATATTTCGAATGTTTCACTTTCAGTTTTTAATTTTTTCACTTTTCAGCTTTTGATTTTTTTCAAATTTTTCGATAAAATTTTTTTTTTTTCAATTTTTTTATTTTTCCTGTTTTTTAATTTTTCGAGTTTTCAGTGTTCCGATTCAAAGGTTTTTGAGTTTTGAATTTTAATTTTTTCATTTTTCGAAGTTGCCCAATTTTTAATTTCCGATCTTTTAGTTTCTAGATTTTAAATGTTTCGATATTTCAGTTTTTGATTTTCAATGTTTCAATATTCAAATTTAATTTTTTCAATTTTTTTATTTAGGAGTACAATTTTTTGTGTTTTCGAAAATTCCATTTTTCAGTTTTGTCAATTTTTCAATATACGATTTTTCAGTTTCGTGATTTTTATTTTTTCGATTTTTAGTCTTTCGATTCAAGAGTTCGAATAGCTAATTTAAAATTTCTCAATTTTACGTTTTTCAATTTTGGTTTTTCAGATTTTCGTTTTTTAATTTTTCGTTTCTTATGTTTACCGATTTAGTTTTTTCGATTCTTCAGTTTCTACGTTTTTAAATTTTCGATATTCCAGTTTTTCAATTCTCAATATTTCGAATAAGTATTTCACCATCAATTTTCAATTTTTTAACTTTTTCAGCTTTTGATTTTTTTCAAATTTTTCGATAAAATTTTTTTTTTTCAATTTTTTTATTTTTCCTGTTTTTTAATTTTTCGATTTTTCAGTTTCGCGATTTTTAATTTCTAGAGTTTTCAGTGTTCCGATTCACAGGTTTTCGAGTTTTGAATTTTAATTTTTTCAATTTTTCAAAGTTGCCCAATTTTTAATTTCCGATCTTTTAGTTTCTAGACTTTAAATGTTTCGATATTTCAGTTTTCGATTTTCAATTTTGCAATATCCAACTTTAATTTTTTCAATTTTTTTATTTAGGAGTACAATTTTTGTGTTTTCGAAAGTTCCATTTTTCAGTTTTGTCAATTTTTCAATATACGATTTTTCTGTTCCGTGATTTTTATTTTTTCGATTCAAGTTTTCGGGTATCTAATTTAAAATTTCTCGATTTTACGTTATTCAATTTTGGTTTTTCAGATTTTCGTTTTTTAATTTTTCGTTTCTTATGTTTCCCAATTTAGATTTTTCGATTCTTCAGTTTCTAGGTTTAGTTATATGTATAATCCAGTTTTGTAATTTTCAATTTTTTTTTGCTTTTCCTGTTTCTTAATTTTTCGATTTTTCAATTCCCGATTTTTCAGTTTCGTGATTTTTAATTTCTTAAGTTTTCAGTGTTGCCATTCTTTCAAACCACTTCAAAAACAAAAGAAAAGGGGTCCCCGAGATTCTTTTAAACTACTTCAAATAAAAAAGGGCCTCCGAGATTCTTTCAAACTACTTCAAAAACAACCAAAAGTGGTACTCGAGATTCTTTCAAACTATTTCAAAATCAGAACAAAAGGGGTCCCCGAGATCCTTTCAAAATACTTCAAATACCAGATTCAAGATGTCTTTAAGATTCTTTCAAATTATTTACTTCAAAAACAAAACAAAAGGACCCCCCGAAATTCTTTCAAACTACATTAAAATTAAAACAAAAGTGGTTCCCGAGATTTTTCCAAATTATTTCAAAAACCAGTGAAGATATCCTTAAGATCCTTTCAATATAAGTTTGGATTAAATTTTTCGATTTTTCAAATTTGAATTTTTTCGAATTCTTGTATTTGTAATTCTTCAATTAAATTTTTCTTTTATCAGTTTTTTTTAATTTTTAGTTTTCCCGACTTTTAATTTTTCGATATACTATTAACTTTTCATCTCTTCAATTTTCGATTTTTCGACTTTTTTGGAGTTTTCCGATTTTATAATTTTTCTTTATTTTCAATTTTTCATTTTTCAGATTTGCCGATTTTTAATTTTTGGTTTTTTCAATTTTCGACTGTCGGTTTTTGGAATATTCAACTTTTAATTTTTTAATTTCTCGATTTTTCGACTTTTGAATTTTTTTTAATTTTGCGATTTACATTTCTTCAATTTTACGATTATAGTTTTTCGGAATTTTCAATTTTCAGTTAGTCTATTTTTAATTCCTCAGTTTTTCAAAGTTTCGTTTCTTTTAATTGGATTTTTCAGTTTTTCGATTTTTCGACTTTTTTGAAATTTTTTGACTCGCAGTTCTTCGATTTTTTGTTTTTTCAATTTTCAGCTTTTCAATTTCACTATTTTTATCTTCACTTCTTTGATTTTTCGATTTACAAGTTTTCTAGTGTCCAGTTTTAAATTTTGATTTTTTAAAGCATTCAGTTTCTCGATTTTTCAGTTTTTCGAGTTTTGAATTTTAATTTTTTTAATTATTGGGTTTTCATTTTTCATTTTTTAATTTGTCCGATTTTTAATTTCCGATATTTCAGTTTCTAGATTTCAATTTTTTTCCTAATACATTTTTTTGTTTTTTCGAAAGTTCCATTTTTCAGTTTCGTGAATTTTATTTTCTCGATTTTTGGTTTTCCGATTCAAGTTTTCGAGTCTCCAATTTTACGTTTTATAATTTTGTTTTTTCAGATTATCGTTTTTTAATTTTTGTTTGTTTCCCGATTTAGTTTTTTCGAATCTTCTAATTTCTACGTTCCAGTTTTGCAATTTTCAATTTTTCGAATGTTTCACTTTCAATTTTCAGTTTTTTTTATTTTCCAGGTTTTCTTTTTTTTCAAATTTTTCGATAAAATTTTTGTTTTTTTTCAATTTTTTTTTATTTTTCCTGTATTTTAATTTTTCGATTTTTCAATTCCCAATTCTTCAGTTTAGCGATTTTTAATTTCTCGAATTTTCAATGTTCTTTCAAACTACTTCAAAAACAAAAGAAGTCCCCGAGATTCTTTTAAATTACTTCAAATAAAAAAGGCCCCCCGAGATACTTTCAAATAACTTCAAAAACAACCAAAGTGGTACTCGAGATTCTTTCAAACTACTTCAAAATCAGAACAAAAGGGGTCCTCAGATCCTTTCAAATTACTTCAAATACCAGATTCAAGATGTCCTTAAAATTCTTTCAAATTATTTACTTCACAAACAAAACAAATGGAATCTCCGAGATTCTTTCAAACTACTTCAAATTCAAAACAAAAGGGGTCCCCCGAGATTCTGTTAAACTACTTCAAAATTAAAAACAAAAGCCGTCCCCGAGATTCTTTCAAACTACTTCAAATTCAAAACAAAAGGGGACCCCGAGATTCTTTCAAGCTACTTCAAATTCAAAACAAAAGGGGACCCCGAGATTCTTTCAAGCTACTTCAAATTCAAAACAAAAGGGGTCCCCGAGATTCTTTCAAACTACTTCAAAAACAAACCAAACGAGGTCCACGAGATTTTTTCAAACTACTTCAAAATCAGAACAAAAGTGGGGCCTGAGATCGTTTCAAATTACTTCAAATATCAGATTCAAGATGTCCTTAAAATTCTTTCAAATTATTTACTTCACAAACAAAACAAAAGGAGCCACCGAGATTCTTTCAAGCTACTTCAAATTCAAAACAAAAGGTGTCCCAGAGATTCTTTTAAACTACTTCAAAAATAAACCAAAAGTGGTACTCGAGATTCTTTCAAACTACTTCAAAATCAGAACAAAAGGGGGCCCTGAGATCCTTTCAAATTACTTCACAAACAAAACAAAAGGAGCCCCTGAGATTCTTTCAAGCTACTTCAAATTCAAAACAAAAGGGGTCCCAGAAATTCTTTTAAACTACTTCAAAAATAAACCAAAAGTGGTATTCGAGATTCTTTCAAACTGCTTCAAAATCAGAACAAAAGGGGGTCCTGGGATCCTTTCAAATTACTTCAAATACCAGATTCAAGATTTCCTTAAAATTATTTCAAATTATTTACTTCACAAACAAAATAATAGGAGCCCCCGAGATTCTTTCAAGCTACTTCAAAAATAAAGCAAAAGGGGTACCAGAGATTCTTTTAAACGACTTCAAAAATAAACCAAAAGTGGTATTCGAGATTCTTTCAAACTACTTCGAAATCAGAACAAAAGGGAGCCCTGAGATCCTTTCAAATTACTTCAAATACCAGATTCAAGATGTCCTTAAAATTCTTTCAAATTATTTACTTCACAAACAAAACAAAAGGAGCCCCCGAGATTCTTTCAAGCTACTTCAAATTCAAAACAAAAGGGGTCCCCGAGATTCTTTCAAACTATCATTAAAATTAAAATAAAAGGGGTCCCCCGAGATTCTGTTAAACTACTTCAAATTTAAAAAAGGCCCCCCGAAATTCTTTCAAACTACTTCAAAATCAAAACTAAAAGGGGTGCCCGAGATTCTTTCAAACTACTTCAAATCCAAAACAAAAGCGGTACCCGAGATTCTTTCAAACTATTTCAAAATCATAACAAAAGGGGGCCTTGAGATCCTTTCAAATTACTTCAAATACCAGATTCAAGATGTCCTTAAAATTCTCTCAAATTATTTACTTCCCAAACAAAATAAAAGGAGCCCCCGAGATTCTTTTAAACTACTTCAAATTAAAAACAAAAGGCGTCCCCGAGATTCTTTCAAGTTACTTCAAATTCAAAACAAAAGGGGACCCCGAGATTCTTTCAAACTACTTCAAAAACAAACCAAAAGTGGTACTCGTGATTCTTTCAAACTAGTTCAAGCTCAAAACAAACGGGGCCCCGAGATCCTTTCAAATTACTTCAGAAACAAAACAGAAAGATTCCCGAGATTCTTCCAAATTTTTTCAAAAACCAGTGAAGGTATCCCTTTTTTTACTTCAAAAACATAGTCAATCCGACCAATAAAATCGATGTCGTCGTTTTAAAATTTTGCATAGTAAATCTTATTTCATTTTTATAAATTGCCATACTTCTACAGCTTTACCTGGGACATGCAGATTTTCTGAAAAAAAAAACACTAAATAAATAAAATTGTCTAACATTTTACAATTAAATTAATAACTGCAAAATTAGTTGCTCTGAAATCATGCAAACGTCTTAAGGTTATTGCAAGCACGATTTATCCCCTGCAAAAACTTGGTGACGTCATCTCGAAATCTAAAACGTACAGAATACACTTGTGGTTTATGAAAACGTTAAAATTTTAGAATTGCTTATACAGCGTGACACTTATTAGTTTTATCAGTGCCTGTCAAAATTAGTAGGTAAGTGTCCTTGATAAATTTTTATTTTAACCTATAAGTTTGTGTGTTTCTAATTCTAATTCAACTACTAAATGTGGCAATTTGAAAATTCCAACCCGAAATACGAGGAGTGCACGGAAAATAACGAGGCAGTCTGTAAAACGACAAAAATAGGATGTTTTTATAACCTCACTTACTTAATTGACATAAATATGGCATTCACACTTAGAGGAAAGCAGTTGCACTAACAAAAGAACTTTAAAAAAACCATTTTTCAGTGTTGCCAATCCAACTAGAATACATAAAAAACCTAGCATTGGAAAAAAGTTCTTTATCGTGTTTTCCAGTACCGGCTTCGTTATTTTCGCACCACATCACCTGGACACTCGCCTCCACTTCTCATCTACCTACCGTGCGGCAAGGGCCTGTGCGACGGGAACGACTCCGGGTAGTCCTCCTGATCCTCCACCCTATCGTGCGACGCGTTCGCTCCGCCGCCCCCATCTGGTTCCAACCAGGAAAAAACACGCAAAAAAACTATTTAAGTTCAAAACTTGGTACGCGCATGCCAGTTCTTAATAAACAAGGGAATTAGTGGGCGAGCGGAAGCGCGGGGCCAGTGCTCGCCGGATACTCTACTTAACACCATTAGAAGCACACCTACCGTCCATGCCGTCCCTGGTGAGGCATTCGGCCCACTCCTGCTGGCTGATCAGCGTGTCGCTGTTGACGTCGCAGGAGCGCGGGAACATCTTGGCGCACTTCTTCGGCTTGACCGCCTTCTTGGCGATGCGCTTCAGGTCGCGGTACTCGTTGCGGTCCAGCACGCCGTTGCCGTCGGCGTCCATCGTGCCGAACTTCCACTGGTTGACGAGCAGGTCGGTCTCGTTGTTGTGCGGCTTGACGACGCCGCCGTGGTCGCGGCTCCACTCGGTGTGGAAGATGTTGATGAGGTTGTTGTTGAACTTGGCCTTGTCGGGCTGCTTGCAGGCGCGGTTGCGGCCCTTGGGGCCCCGGGGGCTGCGTCGGTGGGCGGACTTCTTCTTGCGCCCGCAGTGGGGCTTGGTGTTGGCTTTCCACCGGACGGAGGTGTACGGAAGGGGCACTCCCTGAAGAAAATGTGTTTTTAGTTATCTTTCTACTCTTAGAAAAAAGGAGCATTCACAGTCTAAGCACTGGTACGCGTATGTGCAATTTTCTATCCCATTAAATTTTACGCCATTTCATGAATATTTAACGTTCCATATTTGTATATACAGGAAAAAGTGAATGAAGAAGTGTGCAAAAACCGACGAATATAATGACAAGCACATGAATATAAAGTGTTTAATAATCAAATTGCGGAATTGCTACGCTATGAATTCATTAATATAAAAAGGCCATCATTGAAATTACTTAAAAAAACACGAAGACTTGTGAAGTGTTTTGAGCTAGATGGAATTATGTAGAACATAAAGTTTATATTATAAACGACAACTTCCTGAGCGTAAACTAGAGAATGAAAAAAGTGGTCTCCTGTTTCCGTCCGTCTGTCTGTCTGTCTTCGTCTGTATCAGTTTTTCTTAGACACGTAATTCCCTCCCAAAAAATTTATGACGTCACGACTCGCAAAATCAAATCTTTTCTCAAATTTTCAATTTCTCCACATACAAATTTTTCATTTTTTTAATTTTCGTTTTCACAATTTTATATTACAATTTTTCGTTTTTCATTCCCCTTCATTTTTTCAATGTTTCTTTCGCTTTCATCATTTTTCGTTTATTCAATCTTTCAAATTTTCAATGTTTGAATTTGCAATTCCCCGTTTTTCCAATTTTTAAATTTTTCAATATTTCGTTTTTAAGCTTCTCAATTTTTCATCTTTTGAATTTTTCGTTTCTTCAATTTTTCAAGATCTTGATTTCCAATTGTTTAGTTTTCATTTTATACTTTTTCGTTTTTTCATTTTTGATTTTTCAATTTTTCCATTGTTTTGAAAATTGAAAACCGAAAATTGCGAATCGCAAAATTTAAAAATCCAAAAATTGAAAAAATAAAGAAAATAAAAAACCGAAACAAAAATTGCAAATCGAAAAACTGGAGAAATGAAAAATTGAAAAATCGAAATATTGATAAATAAAAAATTGAAAACTCGGAAAAAATAAGAAAAAAATGAAAATTGTAAGAGTCGCATGTCGTAACATTGAAGGAACAACAAAAAATGAAAAATTGAAAAACTAAAAAATCGGAAAAACTTGAAAAATCGAAAAATTTCAAAAACGAATAAGTGGAATACCGAAAAATTAACAAATCGAAAAAATGAATAAATCAAAAATTGGAAAGAAAAAACCGAATCGAATACAAAAATGTTAAAATCCAAAAATTAAAAAAGTGGAAAATTGCATATTTAAAATAAAAACTAGAAAAATTACAATCCAAAAATTAAAAAATTTCACATTGAAAAAAAAATTATAAAATCAGAACATTGAAAAACCAAAAAACTGAAAAAATAAAGAAAATAAAGAACCGAAACAAAATATTACAAATCGAAAAATTAAAGAAATGAAAAATTGAAAAATCAAAATATTGATAAATGAAAAATTGAAAACTCTTGAAATCGAAAAGTCGCTAAATCTAAAAAAACGTTGGAAAATCGAAAAAAAAGAAAAAAGAAAATGCCAAGAGTCGCATGTCGTAACATTGAAGAAACAACAAAAAATGAAAAATTGAAAAAATTGAAAAACTAAAAATCGGAAAAAATTGAAAAATCGAAAAATTTCAAAAACGAAAAAGTGGAATATCGAAAAATTAACAAATCAAAGAAACGAAAAATTGGAACATTGAAAAACTAAAAACTGAGGAACTTAAAAATCGAAAAAATGTAAAATTCAAAAATCGAAAAATTTAAAATCCAAAAATCGAATAAATGAAAAAGTTTTAAAATGCAATTATTAAGAAAGTGAAAAATTCTAAAAACTGTAATTACTATCGCATATTTAAAATGAAAACTAGAAAAATTACAAATCAAAAATAAAAAAATTTCGCATTGAAAAAAAGAAAAATATTAAAATCATAATATTGAAAAACCGGAAAATTCAAAAAATAAAGAAAATAAAAAATCAAAACAAAAATTGCAAATCGAAAAACTGATGGAATGAACAATTGAAAGATCGAAATATTGATATATCAAAAATTGAAAACTCGTGAAATTGGAAATCAACAAATTGCGAAATAAAAAAAATGGAAAATCGAAAAAAAAATCCATGAGTCGCATGTCGTAACTAACATTGAAGAAATAACAAAAAATGAAAAATTGAAAAAACTGAAAAACTAAATAATCGGAAAAAATTGAAAAATCGAAAAATTTCAAAAACAAAGAAGTGGAATATCGAAAAATGAACAAATCAAAGAAACGAAAAATTGTAACATTGATAAACTAAAAATTGAGGAACTTAAAAATCGAAAAAATGAATGAATCAAAAATTGGGGAGAAGAAAAAACTGAATCGAATCGAAAAATTGTAAAATCCAAAAATCGAAAAATTTAAAATCCAAAAATCGAATAAATGCAAAAGTTTTAAAATGCAAATACTAAGAAAGTGAAAAATTCTAAAAACTGTAATTACTATTGCACATTAAAATGAAAACTAGGAAAATTACAAATCAGCAATTAAAAAATTTCACATTGAAAAAAAGAAAAACATTAAAATCAGAATATGGAAAAACCGAAAAAATGAAAAAATAAAAAAACAAAAATTGCAAATCGAAAAACTGAAAAAATGAAAAATTGAAAAATCGAAATATTGATAAATCAAAAATTGAAAACTCGTGAAATTGCAAATCAACAAATTGCGAAATAAAAAAAATTTGGAAAATCGAAAAAAAAAGAAAATTCCAAGAGTCGCATGTGGTAACATTGAAGAAACAACAAAAAATGGAAAATTGAAGAAATTGAAAAACTAAAAAATCGGAAAAAATTGAAAAATCGAAAAATTTCAAAAACAAAAAAGTGGAATATCGAAAAATTAACAAATCGAAGAAACGAAAAATTAACAAATCGAAGAAACGAAAAATTGAAACATTGAAAAACTAAAAATTGAGGAACTTAAAAATCGAAAAAATAAATGAATCAAAAATTGGAAAGAAGAAAAAACTGAATCGAATCAAAAAATTGTAAAATCCAAAAATCGAAAAATTTAAAATCCAAAAATCGAATAAATGAAAAAGTTTTAAAACGCAAATACTAAGAAAGTGAAAAATTTTAAAAACTGTAATTACTATTGCATATTTAAAATGAAAACTAGGAAAATTACAAATAAAAAATTGAAAAATTTCACATTGAAAAAAGAAAAATATTAAAATCAGAATATTGAAAAACCGAAAAATTGAAAAAATGAAGAAAATAAAAAACTAAAACAAAAATTGCAAATCGAAAAACTGAAGAAATGAAAAATTGAAAACTCGTGAAATTGTAAATCAAAAAATTGCTAAATCAGAAAAAAAGTTGGAAAATCGAAAAAAAAGAAAATTCCAAGAGTTACATGTCGTAACATTGAAGAAACAACAAAAAAAATGAAAAATTGAAAAACTAAAAAAAGGAAAAATTGAAAAATCGAAAAATTTCAAAAACGAAAAAGTGGAATATCGAAAAATGAACTAATGGAAGAAACGAAAAATTGGAACATTGGAAAATTAAAAATTGAGAAACTTAAAAATCGAAAAAATGAATGAATCAAAAATTGGAAAGAAGAAAAAACCAAATCGAATAAAAAACTTTTAAATTCAAAAATCAAAAAATTTAAAATCTAAAAGTCCAATAAATGAAAGTTTTAAAATCCAAAAATTAAAAAAATGGAAAATTCTCAAAAAATGTACAGTAATGTTCGGTTATAACGAACCTCATGGGACTGGTAAAAGTAGTTCGTTATATCCGAAGTTCGTTATAAATGATCTCAAAAAAATCAATATATACTTTCATAAACTTAACTATGTATTTCGGTATACAACATTAAAAAGTATTACAAAAATATAAACATGTTAAGATAATAATACAGTAGTACATATAAGAAAAAAAACTTGATTAATAAAAAGTTGATTAAAAATAAAAGTTGTTACTGAGAATAATCTCAAATTTTACGTTGCTTCTTGTGAGAAAAATTAATTTCATTCATATACAATTCTATTTCGCCTAATTTATTTAAAATACCGTGTGGAGTGTTTCGCGCCTGAAGAAAATGACGAACGGCCCTAATGTATTAAACCGCTTGGGAGGGTTTTGGGATCGTTTCCTCTTTTTCTTCTTCTTCGTTATCTTCTTCGTCTTCAGTCTCATCTTCTGTTTGAATGTTGCATTGAACTGATTTAACAATATCATCATCCAAAATTTCAGACTTCACTAAAATGTCGTCAAAATGGACGTATTCTTCGAAGTCGATATCAAATCCATCGTCAGAATTACTTTCATGTTTTCTCAGCCATTCAGCCAATAGTAGTTCGTCTTCTGCTGGTTCAAATTTTTCATCTGTAGAAACCCAGCATGTCGAAAACAGTTAGCAATTGTTTGTTCTGATACTTTTTGCCATGCCATACTGATAAAATTGACAGCATCTAACAGATCCACACACAAGTGTTCCTAACCGTTGTCGATAGAATCAATCATTTTCGAAAGAAGAAGTCGTCGATAATTGTTCTTTAGACTATCTATTATACCCTAATCTATAGGCTGTAATTTTGTAGTGCAGATAAAGCTGACTGGTGAAAAAGTTCGTTGTAATAGATATTTATTTTATTAGGAGTTTAAGTGATACTTTATGTGTCGAGTATGGACGATTAAACGCCGAGCGATAGCGAGGCGAATTAAGTCCATAACTCCGAATGAAATACAATATTTTATTTTCAAACGATTAATCTTCTTTTGAAATGATTATTTCCTATCTTCTTGCTTCATTAAGGAATTGCCTTGATTTCACTTACCATGGTTACTATGGTTGACAACCACTATGATTTTCACATATTTATACTCCGGCGGAGTATAAATGTTGTATTTATACGCCGGCGGAGTATAAGTAGTACTTATACGCCGCTCAAACACGGTGTCATAGATATGACACTTAAACCCCGGTAAGAGCGTC